TCTTGACCTTTCTGTCTTTATATCATCTCAGGACCTTACAAATGATCTCTCTAGCATAAAAGTCAAGTTTTTTACATGGTGATTTGGGACTCCAAGAGCCATGCCAGTTCTCTTACAGGCAAGGCCCAGAACTGGCATGGTGTCACTTCTGTCACATTATCTTGGTCAAAATAGCCATAGACCAGTCGTAGATTCAAGAGGATGGGAAATAGATACCCTTCCTGATGGGAGGCTTGTCAAGAGTTTATAAGCATCTATAATCTTTCTTAGTGGGAAGGAGAGGTACTTTATGACAAGTTTACAGAGGGAAAAAATGCTAATTTTAGTTCAGTTCAAGACATTGGTCTGAGCTTAAAATGGACTGCTTTTTTTTAAAGCATATTTTTCTCTAGTCCATCCATTTACCAGTAAATGCCCTAATTTCATTCTTCTTTATGGCTGAGTAGAATTCCATTGCATATATATAAGACATTTTCTTTATCTATTTGACGGTTGATGGGTACCAGGGCTGGTTCCATAATTTGGCTGTTGTGAATTGGGCTGCTATAAACAAACATTAGTGTTCATGTTCTATAGTATGCTGATTTTAGTTCTTTTTTTTTTTTTTGAGAGAGAGAGAGAGAGAGAATTTTTTAATATTTATTTTTTAGTTTTCGGTGGACACAACATCCTTGTTTGTATGTGGTGCTGAGGATCGAACCTGGGCCGCATGCATGGCAGGTGAGCGCGCTATCACTTGAGCCACATCCCCAGCCCCTGATTTTAGTTCTTTTGGATAAATACCAAGGAGTGGAATAGCTGAGTTGTAGGTGGTTCCATTCCCAGTCTTTTGAGGAATCTTAATACTGCTTTCCAAAGTGGTCATACTAATTTACAGTCCCACCAACAATGTATGAGTGTATGTTTTTTCCCCACATTCTCACCAGCATTTATTATTATTTGTACTCTTTCTTTTTGGTACTGGGGATTGAACCCAGAAATGCTTTATCACTGAGCTGCATCCCAGCCCTTTTTATTATGTATTTTGATAAAAGATCTTGCTAAATTGCTGAGGCTGGCCTCCAACTTGGGATCCTCCCACATTGCTGGGATTACAGGCATGTGCCACTGTGCCTGGTTATTATTTGTATTCTTTTAAAAAATTTTTAGTTATTGATGGACCTTTATTTTATTCATTTATTTATATGTGAATCGAACCCAGTGCTGCACACATACTAGGCAAGCACTCTAGTGCTGATCCACAACCCCAGCCCATATTATTTGTACTCTTGATGATTGCTATTCTAACTGGGGTGAGATGAAGTCTCAGTATAGTTTTGATTTGCCTTTCCCTGGTTGCTAAGGATGTTGAACGTTTTTCATATATTTCCTGGCCATTTGTAAGCTACTCCTCACATCAGGAGGACGAGAAATGCCTGTTTAGATAATTTGTTTGTTTATTTGTTTGTTGGTATTAGGGATTGAACCAGGGGCCCTTAACCAGGGAGCCATATTCCCAACTCTATTATTTATTTATTTGCATTGAAGATACCATTTTTAATGTTCCTGGAATGGCTGGTACTGATAGATAATTAAAACACACATTAGTCGAATGAATACAGGGTTTCTTACACTGTTGAACGCAAATTGAGTATTTGTCTCTTAATAAAATCACATTTGACATGTATCTTACTATCTACAACACAATTCAAATTTAAAAGGTGTATACAAACAAAATAATACAAGATACTCAGCATCTTCCCTAGGCTGTCAGTGCCACACCCACATGCACTTGTGTACTGAATAGGTTTCATGAAAATACTTTAGAACCCAGTGCCAACTCTCTCTCTTAAAGCATTCTATGTTGATAACACCTTTCTTTCTATATCCATCATGCCTTTGTTAACTCTACTGCAACACATGGAGTGCTGTTATAATTGTTTCTTGGTTTCCATTTTTGAACAGCACATACTTCGAAACTATGAGCCATGTATTGTTCATCTGTATTAACTTATCATTTTATAGTTTATGACAGATATTGGGTAATCAATGTGACTATTTAATAAAATGAGTAAAAGTGAACATTCAGGTAAGGGGCACAATATTTAGAAGATTTCTATATAGATTGGCTTAACTGATCCTGATATTATTTTTTATTTAAAGACAGGGTCTCGCTAAGTTACTGAGGCTGGCTTTGAACTTGTGATCCTCTTGCCTCAGCCTCCTGAGTTGCAGGGATTACAGTGTGCACCACTGCACTTGGCATTTTTCCATTTATTGATTGCATTATTTGTGGGTTTTTGTGTGTGTGTGTGTGTGTTAAGTTTTTTGAATTCTTTATACTTTCTGTATATTAATCACCTGTCAGAGGAGTAACTGGCAGATTTTCTCAGATTCTGCCTTAGCCTCCTGGTTCCTGGGATTTCAGGTATGCACCACTTCTCCCAGGTATTCTTTTTTATTTTTTGAGACAGGGTCTCATTAAGTTGCCCAGGCTGGCCTTGAAGTTGGGATCCTCCTGCCTTAGCCTCCCGAGTAGCTTGGATTACAGGTGTGTGACACCACTCCTAGCAAGGACATTCCTTTGAAATAAGGACAAGTTATTGCACTTTGTACCACTGATGGTAACACCACTGATACTTGATAGTCTTTTGGTTCTAGGGGAAGCACAATCCACATTCATAGGGTTACTGCATGGATGTCTAAACTGTTTTCTTTGCTGTGAAGATGCTTTTTAATTTGAAGTCATTTCATTTATTGATTCTTGGTTTTATTTCCTTGAGTTTTGGGAGTCTCATTAAGGAAGTTGGTGTCTGCATTAATATGTTGAAAAATCAAGGTCGAATGCTTTCTCTCATACCTATAAGCTGGAGGGAAATTTTTAAAAAGATGGGATCCCATGAAAATAGAAAGAAGACTAAAAAGATTGGAGGAAGGGAATCAAGGGGGAAGGAAAAGGTACAGGAAGGGGGAGGAATCACAGAATGAAACTGGTTCTATATATCATTCTGTGTGCATGTATGAATATATCACAATAAATTCAACTTTAATGTATATCCATAATATATCAATTAAAATACAATAAATTAATAGAAGGAAGACCAAGAAAGTAGGGGAAGATGGTAGGGGGAGGGAGAAGAGGAGGGAGAGGGGAAAACTGAGGGTTGAAATGGAGCAAATTATATTCTATACATGTGTTAGGAAACAGACAGATGAGGATGGTGGGAACATGAGGTTGAGAGAATTATTCTATAAAATAGGCCCACTGTGCTGACCCCCACATGCTTTCTTTGCCAAAAAGCAATTTGGCTACGGCCCTGCCTGGCCTAAGTGGACAGGATATGTCCCATTCCTCAGCAAACTGAGGCAGGGGCAAAGGACAGGCAGTCAGTGTAGGTAATGAAGGATGGAGGGCAAGAGAGTGATGACTGGTTATCAAAGAAAGAACAATCGTTTTGCTGGGTCAACTGGGATTGTGTTCCTGGACACTCTGGGTTACGATCAATTAATTTCCTGTGCTCCTGCTTCTAGTCATGTATACAGGGAAGAAAGAGAAGACAATGATTAAAGACATGGGTATTGGGATTTATAAGAAAGCTAGTTGCACCCTCTCTCCTTGGCTTTTTGTTCCAAGGCCTCCTTCTCTTTGTGGAGTCTGTCCTCTATCACTTTCCTAAATACAACTTGCTTGCTACGCTTGCTTCAGTGTTTCTCCAGTATTTATTCTTCAACCCTGGGAACAAGAACCTGTTCCCAAACTCCACCAAACTGGTATCACATGTCACAATGAACTTCACAGTTATAAATAAAATAACAAAAAATAAGAACATAAAATAAATAAATAAGATTCAAACAAAAACAGACTGCTGCTGCACTATAGCCTCACTCAAAAGTAGCTGTGGAAGACAATAGTAATGGGAAATCTTCCCAAAGGACAGGGCTTTGGGTGATGCACCTGGCTATATGTTTTGTTTGGAAGGAGAAGTGGCTCAATGGAAGAACAGATGTAAATAGACAGTGGCAAATGGCTTAGCTAGTTGACCAAAGGCTAGGAGAAGGAGAAGGTTTGGAAGATCAAAAAATAAAATTCAGGGAAGAGACACATGAATGATTCTGTGAAAATGCAAAAAAAAGTGTGAGTATTTTTGTATTGTATGCTAATGCCCATGGGGGCACATCCATAATTGAAGAAGCACTAAACCACCAAGTAAGAGAATGAGTACTTCACTTCAACCAGCCTCTGCATAGGTTACCCCAATGCTGCACAATGGGCTCACGAAAGCAGTGGCTATGGTGGTGGGAGGTACAGATGGGCCCAAAAGCATGGGTTTCCATTCACCACTTAACTTCTGCTGCTGCTGCTGAATGCCCAATGTGCAAGAAATATACAAACATTATATATTGGTGCCATATTCTGAGTAAGAATTTATAGGCCTAAGAGTCAAATTCAAGACAATCTGTCTACTGCAAAATTGGTCATGATCCTGTATAACAGGAAAAAAACCAAAACAAACAAACAAAAAACCCTTAGCTGTTTTCTCCACTATGCTCTCAACCCTAGACAATTCTTCTTTTCTTAATTTTTTTTACTTGTAGATGGACAAAATACTTTTATTTTATTTATTTTTATGTGGTGCTAAGAATCAAACCCAGTGCCTCATACATGCTAAGCAAGTGCGTTACCACTGAGGTACAACCCCAGCCCCAACCCTTGACAATTTTGTTCACTAAAATGTGTTGTTTTTCCTCCCACACTGACCAAGAAATTCTCCAGTCGACACTTACTGGACATCCTGTAACTTAATTCAAGTCTGTACTATATACCTGGATGTTGAGTCAGATCCCATAGGTTAAGGTATCCCACAAGACTGCCATGCACTTCAAATACTAATTTAAAGTCCAGGCTCTGGAAATTCTGACTTCCTGGATACATATCAGGGGTTCCCACAATCCTCCCTTTATTTATTTATTTTTATTTTTTCATTTTTAGATCAACATCTTACACTTTATAATACACTCACATTTATACACAACTTTGTGTTTACAAGTACAAAAGGCAAAGAACTGCAAAGAATCTAAGCAACTGCATCATCAGCTACATTCAACAGAGTTAATACTGTTGTCTCTGCTCCCATTATCTAAATCTGGAAGGAAATAATAAACACCATCCAACCTGGACTTCACCTTTAGAAGTTGGAGACTGCGTGCAGCTCGGCGCATGTCTGAGTTTCCACAGAGCTGAACTGAGATTCCATCGTGTTCCAGGCCAAATCAGCTAGAAGAAAGTCATCCATTGCTGTCTGAGTTTCATTGCTGGTAAAGAACAAGCTCCCCAAGGTTTCAAAACCTGAACTCATGGTCTGTGTTTCTGTACTGTTCAACTGAACTTTGCTCTCTAGGGCAGATAGGTTTTTAGCAGCGGAGATTCCTTCAGTTTGGGTCTCTGTGTCTGATGAATAGTGCTCATGGAAAAGCTGGAGTGTTTCAGGATGCTGCCAAGGGGCAGATGAGGGCTACTGTCCAAAAAGAAGTTTAAGTCTGTTTGCGTTTGCGTGTCAAACATCTCAAGGCCTAGGAAGTGAGAACTTCCCCTATACCCGTAGGGCTGGACAGATGTGTCTGCAAGTAAGAAGTCAGTTTGGGTCTCTATGTCCAGTGATTCCAAGACTGGCTCAGTGTTCATGGTGCTAAGTTCACTCTCTTCAGTTTGAGTCTGGATATTTGAAGCTGAGAAGAACTCTTCAATATCAAAATCTATTCCAGGATTCTGGGTTGAGCCAGATGGCAGCTGAGTGTCAGGCCCAGGGTTTGTGTCAGACAAAAGACTACGGTTATCCAATGTCTGATCGGGCAGATTACTTGACAAGATGTTTTCTAAATCACTTAATAAGTCTATGGTTTGGGTCTGATTATCTGTCATGTTCTGTGAAGGAAGCATATTATTCTGTGCACTAAAGCTCAAAATGGGCGCAGATTTCTCAATATCTTGATTTAAAGTCTTAGGGTCATTCTGAGGTAACAAACCACGAGCTACTGTCTCTGCTACTAAGCTGCTGCTTATAATAGTGTCTGCAGGGACACTGTATGATGAATGGACACTCTCAAAAATGTCTCTGCACATTCCAGCTTGGTCCATCTGTACTTGGCCACGTGTGGGACTTTGCATCCCACTGGTTTGGGTTTCTCTGGAGATCCCACCTGGCTGATAACAAGTGTCCATAAATGCATCAGTCTGAGCGGCTATAGATGAAGTTACCTTAGAGCTGGGCAGAAGCGTCTGGGTGTGAACACTAATGGGAAGGGACACTTGAGAATCAAATGACAGATCAGTCTGAGAACAAGATGATACAGAGGAATCAGGGCCAACCCACTGTGCAGAAGGTAGGAAGTTTTGTGAGGCATAGGACAGATCCGTCTGTACATTGATTGAAGAAATGCTGTTCTTCTACACGTGTTCCCTAGTTCTTGTAAAGGATTAGACAGATTTTTTACCCAAGTTCACTTGAACACCGGTACTAACTGGCTCAACAACAGGATTTATAATTTTTGAAAGAGGTAGGCTCTCCTTAAGAGAACAAGCCTCTGACTCTAGGCCAAGGATCAGGGTTCCTACTGACAAGGGCACTAAGTGCACAGCACCTGCAGTGGAGCCCTGATCCATACCTAACACCACCGGCTGGGCCGAAGAGTCAGCCGGCTGGCCGTAGGCACGAAGACAGGCACAGAAGAGAACTGCATGACCGGAAGTTTAACCAAAGCCACTTTGGGCTTTGGTAGAAGCAACTTCTGAGGATATCTAGGAGGTGTTGTGACACTCTGTTTTCTGGCATTAGAGCTGCAAGAATCTTCAAAAAAATTTACTAGTTTTATTTCTGAAGTTTCTAGTTCTTGAGGATCTGGTCGAGGAGGGGGTTGAGTGCTCAATGGTTCCATGGTCTTATTAGATAACTTCTGGTTTTGTAGATAGTTTTCCATTTTCCTTTTTTTACTAGGTGGATCCCTGTGTTCTGCAGGAATCTCTGACCAGTTTGGTAGATGTGAGACTGTAATGCCGTTCTGCTGGCATAGGGACAGCCGCATGTGCACTGGAAGGTCTTGCCACAGTCCTCCGTGTGCCTTTTCAAGTCCCACTCGGTACCATAGGAATTGCTGCACTTGCTGCATTTATGCTTCTTCTCCGCATGCATTTTCATAAAGTGCTGTTTTACGAGAGAAAACTGAGAAAATGGTCTGTTGGGACCTCTAGGGCATCCTTCAATTGGACAATAGTAGAATTTTGGTGTGGTTTTCAAATCTTTTCTTATTGTTGGATTTACTATGCCATCCTGGAGGCGGTGGCTCTTGACCAGGTGCATGCTGAGCGCCGGGCTGTTGGGCAGGATCTTGCCGCAGCCGCGCACGGTGCACAGGATGTTGGTCCGCACCGCTCGCGCGCGAGCGACCCCGGCGGCTCCCCGCGCGGCCTCCGGGACTGGAGGAGCGCCCGCCGCCAGAGCCGCTGGCCCCACCCCCGCGGCCGCCATGGCTCCCGCACAATCCTCCCTTTAGATTCAATCATTTGCTAGAGTGATCCACAGTACTTAGGAAAGCTCTTAGGTTTATCAGTTTATTATAAAGGGTATTATACAAAATGTAGCTGAACAGCCAGATGGAAGAGATGCTTAGAGTAAGGAATGTGGGAAGGGACAGTTTCCATGCTCTATCCAGGACATGCCGAGTGGAGAATAGCACCTACATGTGTTCAGGAACCTGGAAGCTTTCTGACCCCACAGTTCAGGAATCTTTCATGGAGGCTTCATCATGCAGGGATTATTATTAACTCCATCTCCAGCCCCTCTCCAGGATGTGGATGTGGGATGTGGAGCTGAAAGTTCTAAACTTCTAATCATGGTTTGGTTTTTCTGGTGACTAGGACCCATTCAGGAGCTCAAGTGACATCTTACTAGAACAGAAAGATGTTCTTTTTTTTTTTTTTTTTTTTAGTTGTAGTTGGACACAATACCTTTATTTTATTTATTTATTTTTATGTGGTGCTGAGGATTGAACCCAGCACCTCGCACATGCTAGGCAAGTGCTCCACCACTGAGCCACAATCCCAACCCCAAAAGATGTTCTTTTTAGCAAAGAAACTCCAAGTGATAAGGAGTTCTATGTCAGAAACCAAGGTCAAAGATCAAATATTAGTTTTGAAATAAAGATTCTCCTAGCATTCCTATTGTTTAGAAAATTACAAATTTTCAGGAGCTCCATGCCAGAATCTGGGAGAAGAGATAAAGTATTTCTTACATCACAATATCGCAGTTCCTTGGCCACCACGTTATTCTGCAGCCCTTGACTGCATTATCTTTTCTGATTTTACATAGATGCTTTTCAAATGTGGTTATAAGCACAAGCATAAAGCCAGTTCAGTGATGATCTCAGGTTTGTGCCATTTTGTTGGTTCTCTCCCAAATTTAGCTTTTTGAAATTCTTCTGGCTTTATATTATAGGATGTGTTTTAGTCAACTTTTTTGTCATTGTGACCGAAAGACCTGACAAGAACAATTTCAGAGGAGGAAAAGTTCATATCTCAGTCCATAGACAGCCTGCTCCATTGCTGTGGGCCCAAGGTGAGGCAGGGCATCATGGCAGAAGAGTGTTATAAAGGAAAGCAGGCCAGAACACAGGCACTAAGAAGCAGAGAGAGAGATATATACCACAAAATCACATCCCGATGACCCACCTCCTCTAGTCACACCCTACCTGCCTACAGTGGCCACCCAGTTGATTCTTAACAAAGGATTAATGCACTGATTAGGTTAAGGTTCTCATAACCCAATCATTTCACTTTTAGACTTTCTTGCATCATCTTACACATGAGTTTTTTTGGGGGACACTTCATATCTAAACCACAACAGTATGGGATGTATTAGTAATCTCTGATAGTTTTGTGGCATATACAATATTCATGGATAAAGCAACTTTGGGAGTGGATAAGGAACAAGATGTTTATAAATTTAAATTTGTTTTTATTTTAGTTACTGCTTTGTTATGGCCATTTTGCCTGACCATTAGTAATAAGCACTGCAACTGATTCCTACTGGGGCATATATTTGTAGCCACTTCTGTCCTGAGCCTATAGCAGCTTAAAATTTTCTCTTTTACACATGCAAACACACACACACACACACACACACACATACACATACACACTAGAATAGGTAAAGCATGCACAGCTGGAACATTCAAAAGTCAGTCAAGGACATACTTAAAAAAATAGATTTCCTGCTAGCATGTTTGGTAGTGCACATCTGTAATCTCAGTGATCCAGGAGACTGAGGACCAAGAATCACAAATTTGAGGCCTGCCTGGGCAATTTAGCAAAATCCTATCTCAATGTTTAAAAAAATAAAATAAAAAGGACTCAGTGATGAAAGAGCCTTGAATTCAATCCCCAGTGCTACTCTCTCACACACACACATAAAGAAAAAGCATATTTCCCTCCCATGTCTGTTCTTCAAACTATTCCCTTTTCTTAGGTGTAACAGTTGTGACCAGTTTCTTATTTCATTAAATTATACTGGTGTATATTCTTGCAATGTTTTATTTTTATTATACTGTATAGGCCCAGTCAGGAGACAGAAATCACAGTGTTTCAAACAGGAAGTTTAATATAAAGCATTGTTAAGCTATACTATAAGAGTAACTATAATTCGGGGCACAATGGCACATGCCTGTAATCCCAAGGCAGGAGGATTGTGAGTTCAAAGCCAGCCTCAGCAACTTAGTGAGGCCCTAGAGCAATTCAGCATGACACTGTTTTTAAATAAAATACAAAAAAGGACTGCGGATGTGGCTCAGTGGTTAAGTGCCCCTGGGTTCAATCTCTGGTACCAAAAAATTTTTAAAAAGACTATATGGTATAAAGATAAATCTATTGGATACTCTTGGGCTGAGGGAGAGTTTAGCTCCTTCTCCCAGTGCAGAATTCACACTACACTAAAGAAGGGGTAGTTGCAGCTTACTGGAATAGCAGAAAAGTTTTATAGTTTTTCTAGTTCAGAGCTGGTCCACAGGTTCTGATAAAGCAGGAAATCCACAGTTGGCAAGAGGATACTTGGCATACAAAGAGTCTGAGTGCCACCATAGTTGGGAGGACTTGTGGTCCTCTTTGAGCTGGGAGAGCTGTAGGGGAAAATCTTTTGGGGCTGCAGGTGATCAGATGGAACTGTGGGTGAGAGATCTGTAGCATGGGGTGTCTATGTTGAGTTGGCTGTAGGAAGGTGATCAACAGCTGGGTTGGGCTGTGGGATTGCTGTGTATTCTAGACACATGGAAGGGGCAGAACATAACTAGCTTACCTTTACACCTGCACCTGGCAACAGTGGATTCAGAAGAGAAGCCCCTTTCTCCTGTGATGTTTTTCCAGAGCTCTCTTACTTACTACAAAGGAGAAATATTTGAAGGATTTCTGTCCATTAATGCAGAGAAATTATAGAAGTTGAATTTGGAGTGGAGAGCCAATATGTTGATAATTGGCACATGTACAAATATATATAACTATAAACATGTAATGTCCTTACTTTTAGAACACAATACAGGCATATTACTTCATTTGGTTCATTTGCTAAGAGATTGTTCCATATTAATGTGTTTGAAGTTACCTCTTTTCAAAGGGTACATACATATTCCACTGTATGTACCTTTACTTATTGTACTACTCTCTTATTAATTTTATTTCTAATAATTTGCTATTAAAAATAATACTGCAGTAAATATCCTCATACATCTGCTATTTTATACCATACAAGTATACCGACATACAATTCTATAAGTAGAATTTCTGGGTCAAAGGCAGGCACATAAATATTTGTAAATTGTATTTTTAAAATTTTTAAAAATTAATTTTATTTATATATGACAATGGAATGTAAATTGTATTTTTTAACAAAACTTAATACACAAAAAGAATAAATATCATACAAGTACAAATTATATCACTAATGATCCACCACATACTCATTAACCTACCATGGATCCCAAGATCTAGAACAAACCACTGACTCCATCTTGTGTCCACTTCTCTGTCCCTCCTTACTGCTTCTTCCTTGAAGGGATTCACTACTTCTGTGCAGTGTATAGTTTTCTTGTTTTTTATTTTAACAGTTTATCACGTTTGTATAGATATCTAAAAATAACATAAAATTTCCCCTATCCTTTATAATCTTTTTGTTCCTGCAAAGTAACAGCATGCTTTATTTTATAACTACTAGGTAATGAAGTAATGGTATTTATGTTAACCAAGTATTGAATAATGGTACCAGTTTCATTCAATATGTTGTTTCGTATAAACATTTAGGCTCTTACAGTTGAACTTTAGGTTTTGAATATGATCTGATGAGACAGTATCAGGAGGATCTGTATTTACTACTGAAAAATCGTTAAGCCAGATGTAATGGTGAGTGCCTGTAATCCTAGTGATTTGGGAGTCTAAGACAGGAGGATTGCAAGTGTGAGGCCAGCCTCAGAAACTTAGTGAGACCCTATCTCAAATAAAATTTTAAAAATAGGGTGGGGATGTAGCTCATTGGTAAAGTGACCTTGGTTAAATCTCCAATACTGCTCCCCACTCCACACACACACAAAGAAAAGAAATTCTCATATCTCAGCATTTAGATTGGTCTTTACCTCAGAATTATTGGCTTCTTCTATGTTACAAAGAAAACTTTGAATTTAAAAATCTCTTATCTTTTTTTCTCTATGAAATTCCAGAATTAAAAAAAAATATATTTTAATTTGTTCTAATTAGTTATACCTGACAGTAGAATGCATTTTGACACATCATACATAAATGGAGAACTTTTCATTCATCTGATTGTACATGATGTACATAGTCATGTAATCATTCGTGCACAAAGGGTAATGTCCTATTCATTCTACTATCATTCCTACCCCCTACCCCATCCCCTCTCTTCACTCCCCTCTATTTTGAATTAGCATCTGCATTGCCGCAGTCTGGCTGGGCACAAATCACTAGCCACTGAAGCGGCGCTGCATATCAGAGAAAACATTCGACTTTTGGTTCTTTGGGATTGGCTTGAAATTCTGGAAGTTTGGTAAGAAAATATCATATTTTGAATTCTGAATGTGTCCTCCCAAAAGTGTGTATTGGAAACTTAACACTTCTGTGCAACAGTGTTAGGGGATGGGTCCTAATGGGAGGTAATTAAGTTATGAGGATTCTGACCTCATGCATTAATGCCTTAATTGTGGGAACATTTCCTCATAAGAGGGCAAGTTTGACCCCCCTTTTGTCTCTTGTGTTTTTGCCTTCTCTATAGGATAATGCAGCAAGAAGGCCCTTGCCAGATGCTGGCTCCTGGATCCTTCT